ACCACCCACTGTACACCCCGAGAGCCACGAGAGGGCAGCTCCCTACGGACCAGCCCGATGGGAGGCTCAACCCCACTCCGCCAAGGGAGCCTCCCAGCGTCTCCTCCGTGGTGGTCTGAAAGGCAGAAACCAGGAGGCCCAGGACACAAAACTTACCCTGGCCCCCCGCCCGCCCCCCACCGCCAGATCAGAGTCTGCCCCTCAGGCACCCAGCACACTCAGTCCGTCACCTGAAACGCAGTACCTTGCATGGCCTTGTACTGCATGGGGGTGATGTGCTCAAAGCCAGGTGGCGGGACATCCCAGTATTTACGGACCTTCTTCTTCTTCTCGTGGCGGGGGGAGCGACTGGGAAGGGGGGAGGGGAGAGCGGGGCAGGACGACCTCAGTCTGACCAAAGGTGGGCCTGCGAGCACCCCAGGCTCCCCTCAGCTCCCCACCAGGAGTGCAGCGCTCTCCAGGAGGGAGAGGATCTGGGTCAGGGCCGCACCCAGGCCTGGGGGAGGGTGCTGGTTTCAAGGCCAGTGGAATCTCGTCCCCAGTACTTGGGCTGGGGCTGGCTGAGGACAGGGAAGGGTGCACAGGGGCAGGGGAGGGGGCAAAGGGAGTGGACATTGGGGTGGAAGGGGCAGGAAGAGAAGCTCACATCAATCCACCGTGCTCCTCTTTAGCGCCTCTGGTCAAAGGTTTGCTGGGGGGTGGGAGGGAAAGGTATGGGGAAGGGTGACTGGGGACCCTCGTCTTCCCCACACGCCACACCTCCCCAAGGGCTCAGAGCCCCAGGGCTGGGGCCACCAGGCCCCCTTGGCCCTGCCATGCCCCCCAAACCTCCCACCCCAGGAAAGAGGTACTGAGGAAGGGAGAAAAGGCCACACGGACCACTTTCTACTTGGAGAAACGGAGGTGGAAGGAGGCAGGAGGACTTCCACCTACCCCGCCCTTCCTCACCTAAGGGGACAGAAAACACAGAGAGCGGTCTACGAGGAAGAAGCGTTAGAAGAGCAGACAACAGGCAGGGGCTGGAGATGCTGCCGCACTTCAAGAACCACCTCTTCCCAGGAGGCAAAGCTCAGGCCCCAGAAGACGATCCCAGAACCACAGACAGACAGTGGGAGAAAGAAACCAGCCCTGAGTGACAGGGACTGGGACAGGGTCACGAAGGAAGAAAACGTCGAGAGCCCTGACTCCAGACTCAACTCCAAGGTAAAGAACCTACTGTCCTCACCAACCCACCAGAAACAAGAAAACTCCAGAAACAGGAAAAAAAACCCCAGAACTCAGACAAGGAACAGACCCTCCCTCAGGTACAGAGAGAAGCCAGAGTCCCAGGCGCACAAGGATTGGGTGCACTGACACCCCATTCCCAGGCCGGCCCGCCCCACCTGAGCCCAGCCAGGGGTCCCCAAGCCCTGGTACCTTCGTCGCCGCCTGTCCCGGGAGGCGCTCCGCTGGTCCCGGTTGCGCCGGTCCCGACTCCGGCTCCGGCGCTTGCGGTCCCGGCTCCGAGAGCGGCTGTGGCTACGCTTCCGGTGCCGGTTCTCCTTGTCCCGCTCTGGGCCAGGGCGAGGGGGAGGAGAGTGAGCTGAGGGAGGACACGGCCCAGCCCACCCACTCCCTGGTGGCTAAGCCCCGAGCCCCAGGGAGGCCACCCCCAAGGGGAAGGGACTCAGTGCAGGAGGGGAGATAACAGGCTTCCTGGGTCCACAAGCCAGTCCAGGGACCCTGGGGGACCAAGGGCACGGGAGCTGGTTACCTGAGGGGACAGGGCCTGGAAATGCCCCCGGGGTGTAAGATACCTGAGGCTGCTCAGGAGGAGCTGGGGAGCCAGAGAAGACAGAGGAGGCTGGCTCCTGGTCCCCCTCGAGGGCTGAGGGGCCTGACCCCAGGGTCGTCCCTGAGAGGGGCAGGGCTAGAGGCTGGGGAATCAAGAGACCCAATGATGTTTTCCTGAATGAAGGACACTGGCGACCCCTCAGGAAAGACCTCCTCAACCAGCTGGCACCCACAGCCCCACCATCAGGCCCCGGGGTCAGGTGTCAGGCAGGATCTGACATCCCCAGGAAACCAGGACACCCGACGGTCCCTTCCCAACCAGGTGAAGAATGCAGGATGCCCTCCTCTAGGGACGTTCCCCTTTCAGAACGTGGGCTATGGAGGAGGTACCTGGCCCCGCCTCAGGAGCTGGGGGAGGAGCGTGCCCTGGCCCCCGCCCTCACAGGCTGGTATCCCAAACCACCCCATCCTGCCAACACTCCCCCAAAGCCAGGGACTGGGGTCCAGCCCCCAGTTGGCTCCCCCAACCCCCTCAATGGCCTTGGGGTGGCGACTCGGAACGGAGCACAGCCACGCCCATAAAAGCACAGAAGCCTCGGCTCAAAGACCTCTCACCCCGGAAGGAGGTGCGGGCCAACCCACCGGCACCGAGTCCCAGTGCGTTTCCTTGTTCTTGGGCTGGAAGACACCCCAACTCCTCCACCACCGTGCGTCCGTGCACAAAAGCAGGGCGACGCAGTAAGGACAAGGTGGTGGACTTCAGCCCCCCGCTACTACATCATCTCTTAGGCTTCCTGAAACTTCACGTGTGAACTTTCTACCAGTAAATCTCAACTCCAGAACCACTAAAACTCAAGCTAAACCGCACCTCAGAAGGGGAAAAAACAGAGCAGCTGACACAAGAATGCTCCTAAAGCCCATCTGTACCGAGAAGCCCCACTTGCCCTCAGTCCCTCCCCTGCAGAAAAAACACTTCTACCCAAATAACACAGAGGCGAGGCACGGGAAAGCCACGTGACTCGCCCATGGCAAAACCAAGACGGCGGTGTGGCCGGAAGGCCCACCCTGGAACGTTACCAAGTACGGTCAGGCACCTGGACACACTCCTTAACTCAGGAGACGCAAAACGCCCGAGGGTCTGCCTAGAGCCGCCAGTAACGACGCCAGTAACCCTGCCAAGGTTGGAAAACGGAAGCTGACCCGGCCCCAACCACGGCTGGGGTGAAGCAGGAAAAGACAGACGGGCTGGCTCCGGGCACGCAGCAGCTGCGGCCTGGAGCGGCCCGCCTCTGGCTCCACACCGGTAAGACGAGCAGGCTCCGAGCCCCAAGACCTCTCCCTGAGGCAAGGCTCTGGGATGGACACACAGCCAGACGGACGGCAGAGGAAGCGGAGATGCCCGCCGGCTGCCTGCCCGCAGACGAGGAAATTCGCTCTCCGGAGACACACGCGCCCCCGGCTCGGGCTGAAGCCAGAGGCTGGCCCCCAGAGGCGAGGATCCGCAGGCAGAGCGACATGTGCACAGAGCTTCCCGCCTCCCCACACAACACAGCTCCACCAACCGCACTTAGGCCGGGGCTCAGGACTGGCCCCCCAGTGCCGGAGAGAAGCCAGGAGAGGGGAAGAAAGGGCTCCAGCAATCCCGGCCGGCAGCCCGGCCTCCCACCGGCCAGACGCAGGGAGGGCTGCAGCATTTCTGCCTCCTGACGATGGGAAATCACGCAAACGCGGCCAAACCTCCTTGAAACAAAGGTCCCGCGGGCCCCCGCGGTGAGGATGCGGCCCGACGACACTTGGAAAGCACCTCTCGCGCCGGCGCCACCTCCACGAAGACGGACCTCCGCTTCGGAATACGACAGCGCACAAAGGACAACTTCACAAAAACCACGTCGCTTATCAAGCCCTTAGCGTATACCGAGCCCCATGGCACGCGCGCCTCTCCGTGCTCCCCGCGGGACCCGGGCTCTGCACCGACCAGCTGAGGTCCGCGGAGGTGTTGAACCCCGAGCCCGCCTCCCTCCCCCCCGAAAGAGCAAGCACATCGGCTCCGCCTCGCGCGCTCTCTCGAGGGCGCACTCCGAAGGCCGCCACGGGCTCAGCAAACAGCCCAGTGCGGGGCGCGCGTCCAGATCACCTAGCACTACGGCCCTCCTCGATGCCGCAAACGCAGGGCCGCGACACCCGCACAGGGGTCCCGGGCAGCACGGCAGCCGGCTCACGGACGCTCCGGAGCAGAGCCTCTTCCCGGCCGCCCGGCCCCGCACACGGACCGCAGCAGCGTGCACCGCCTGCCCTGGTGCCGACACCCCGCAATGCCCACGCCCCTCGTCCCACACGGCGCGGCACAACACGGCAGAGGCCGGGTCCACGCGCCCCACCACGGGAACCGGACGAGCAGCCAACACTCCACGCCGCGAGCAAGGGGACGGCCCCACTCCCACGCCCCAAGAACGCACGCGTGTCCTCTCCCCCGAGGAACACCGCCTCAGCCCGCCGCCGCCCCGGAGCGATGGGGGGGGGGCCCGACCCGCGCCCACGTGAAGGGGGCTAGCAACCGCCATTTTGGGACAAAGGGGGCGTGGAGACCCGGGCCGCGGGCCCGGCCGGAAGCGGAAGTGCCGGAGCAGCGGGAAAGAAAGGAAGCACCGAGGGACCGATACACAGAAAGCCCCTTTTCAGAGTATTTAAAAAGGGAAAAAAAAGAAAAGAGGGTGGCGCGTAGGCGAAGGAACACCCAGCCAGCCCGCGGATCCGCGCCGCCTCCGCCGCGCACCACGTGGGGTGCAGACCGGAGCGCACCGCGCATGCGTCCGGGACCCGCGCCCGCTGCCCCCTCCCCTCCCTTCCCGTCCCGCGCGCGGCGGCACGCCGAGTGGTCACGTGAGCGAGGCGCGCGCAGCGGAGCGGTGGTGGGGGGGCGCCGCGCAGCCCAGAAAGGAGGGGGAAAGAGAGGAGTAAAATGGCGGGGAACACGGAGAGGCCAGGAGCCACCCCGCCCCCCGCCCCCCACCCCCCGCGCCCCTACCCTGCTTATTCTCGTTGAGCTGCCGCTCGAACTCGTCGAAGTCCGACATGCTGAGGCGGCCGCGTAAGGGCCTGTGCAGCTCTGGCCTCGCCTTGCCGCCCGCCCGCTCCGGCCGCTTCGGCTACTTCCGCCGCTCGCTTCGGCTACTTCCGGCCGCCGCCGGCGCTCTGCCGCCTCCTACCTAATCAAGCCCGGGACGCCCGCCCCGCCCCGCCCCGGCTCCGCCCCTCTCCCCGCCCTCCCGCCCGCGAACCGCCCCTCCCCCCCAGAGCCTAGCTCCAAATAGCGTCGGCTATATCCGGGCCGTAGAAAGAATCGCTAGCGGCGGCTCCGGCAGCTTCCGAAAACACCCGAAGCGAGGATTTCACCGGCTTCCCAGGCTATCGTAACTTTTCGGAAACTAGCTCTTCAACGTTCGGGTGTTTCCGTAGGTCCGCGCGTTCCTCTGCGCCCAGCGCCCCCCGCCCCAAGGGTTCGGCTTCTTCCGACAATTCAAACCGTCCCAGTCTCTCGCTGCTCCCGCAGATTCGACCCGCTCTTCGCTGCCGGCCCTATCCAAGCAATCGGCTACTTCCGACAATCCTAAACGTCCCGCACTTCTGCGCTTTCTGAAGGTTTCCAGCGCTGGGTCTGGGATCCAGCCAGAGGATTAAACCCGATGCCAAGCTTCGGCTCTCTCCGGACAGTGCACTCACTCCTCCCCAGCCGGTGAACTTCGGCTCCTTCCGCCACCGCTTCGTGAAGGCCTCACTCACGGGAGACAGCTTCGGTTTTTTCCGTCGGCGCTTCGGCTCCTTCCGGCTTCGGGAACCGAAAAGGGAGGGAGGACAGAAACGAGGTTGGTCAGGAGAAGGGATACGGAAAAAGGGCGGGGTCCCGGCTCTCTGCCCCTGCCTCTCCGGGTGAGGAGAGCGGAGGAAAAGAAGGGCCGATTTCGCAGAGGGCCTAAAAAGGTTGCGCGAGACAAAAGCAGGCAGCGGGGTGAAGGGTGCGCGCGGCCGCTGCGGAGGTTGCCAGCGCGGCTTTGTGCGCCTGCGCAGAGTGGAAAAGGAGGAGAGCGAGTTGGGCTTCTGCGCCTGCGTAGAGGTCGTCTAGGCGAGGTTTCTCACCATTCGGGAGGCGAACGGGTGCCAGAGGGCCCAGCACGCATGCGCGAGACGTTCCCTCACTCCGGGAAAGGTACTGGATTCCAGACCGTTAGGCACACCCGCCGTCTCCTGGTTGCTGTAGCAACAGCGTAAGCGCGCTCGCGCCCCTCCCGCAGCGCAGGCGCAGCAGGCGACGTAGAGGGCACTTCCGGAAGAGCGGTAATTTGGCATTACCGCCTCCTGGCGGGCGGGCGTGGAAGCCTCCGCCCGAACGTGTCGTTTCTCGGTCCCCGTCACTGCATCCCGGCTCCTGCCACCGCGCCTCTAGTCGAGCTAGCCTCTTTCCCGGAGCTCTACCTCTCCGAGTTCCCTGGGGCACAGCTGCTTTCCCTCCTCCCGCCCCTGCCGCCGGGGGTGCTAATTACACCCTGTCTCTCCGAGCTCCGGCTCCCTGCCTGACCGCCCGCTCCGTGCAACTCGCCGGAGCCCCCGTCACTGTCTCCGCGGCAACGGACACCCCCTCCAAAAAGGAGCCGGGCCTAGTTTATTCCAAATTTTATCGTCTCTCTTTAATTTAAATTCTCTGAATAATTCTTTCTTGTCCAGAATGCGGGTGGAGAGCTCCTGGCAGAGTGGGCCAGGCTCTCCTCGGGGCTGGGAGTAGAGACGGGGTATGTACAGTGCGTGGCCCCGCAGAGAGTCTCGCAGTGTCCCCCGGAGGAAGCGCCCGGTGAGGGCAGGACGGTGCAGCTCGCGTGGGAGGAGTGCCAGTGTTTGGAAAGGGCAGAAACCGACCCCTGAAGCTTGGGGGCCAGGCTAAGTGGACGCCCCTCCCCAGGGAATGCAGAGAAAGGGGAGGAAGCTAGGAACGTGAGAGGCAAGAAGGGGACCGGATCTATATAGGAGGAACCTGGGGTGGGAGTGGGGATCTGCAGGAGCAGGAGAGGCACGTGCAGAAACACCCCAGGGCCTCTGGAGGAGCACGCCACTCATGCACACGCTCGCCCGGTGCCAGGAGGGACACAGGAGGGAGGGAAGTGGGGGCCGAAGGGCGCGTCCCGGGCCAGGTGGGGCAGGATCACCGCTTGAAGCGATAGGTGATGGGGAGCAGCAGCTTGCTCTTCTTAAGCGCCTGCACCTTCTTGAGGGTCTCGTCGTCCAGGGCCAGGAAGCAGCGGCGTGAGTACTCGAGCAGACGCTCCTTAGAGGGGTCGAACTCGCCCACCTCCGCCAGCTTCTCCGGGGCCACGATGAGCAGCTCCGCGATGGGCGTGGTCAGCGCCACCGTGTTGCGATCTACTCGGTGGTGCTCAAAGGCCCGAGACATGCTCTTCAGCTTCTGGAAGGTGCCCAGGATCTTCTTGTAGCGGCAGAGGACTCCATCTGCATCCTTCACTGCAAGGCCAAGGCAGGCAGAGAGGGAGACATGAGGAACAGAGATGGACATGGGAGGCAGAGATGGGGCACAGACAGCGAGCCCGGTACAGGAAGAGCCAAGAGAACAACATGGAAATCCAGAGGACAATTGGGTGAGGAGTCAAGAGGTGGTGGGAGACATGGAGACAGTGCGAGACAAGTGGAAAAATCAGAGAAGGCAGGCCCAGAGAGGAGTTGTTCCCAGCCCCCCTGAGCCTCACCCCCTCCCCTTGTTACTGATGAGAAACCTGAAGCTCAGACCCAGATGGCAAGGCTGGTGAGGGTGGACTGCGATGTAAGACCACACGTGGACAGTCTGTCTGGGACAGACAACCAGGCTAGGGGAGAAGGGAGGGCCTCCTCCAAGGTCACAGCAAGCCCCCAGCCCAGACCCCTCGAGCTCCCACCCCGAATGCGTTTTGCTCACCCCGCTGCCTCTCCCGGGCCTTGGGCTTCCCAAAGCGTCTCCGGCCAGCACCTCCCTTCTGCCTCTGTCTCTTCCTCTCCACGGTACTGCCTTCTTCAGACGCTCCGCTGAGTGAGGAGGCTGCTGACTCCGGATCTGAGGCCTCGCCCCCAGCCCCACCCCGGCTGTCCCCCTCAACCCGCCTGGGCCCAGGCTTCCCCCGGCAGTGGTCCTCTGGAAAGAGGTAGAGAAAGAGAGACCCGTACACATAAACTTCCAGAACAGGAGGGAGGAGGAGGCAAGAGGCTGTCTGCAAGATGCGGACAGATGTCACATCATATACAGGCCCCCAGGAAAGGGGGGGCCTCAACTGGGGCTGGAGCCCCCAAGGAGACCAACAGACAGTACAGCATAGACGTTGCAGTCCTTAGCAAGAGGGCTGAGTGCACTTGGGGGAGGAGATCACAGGTGGAGCATGGGTTCATGCCCCTCAGACTCCTAAGCTCTATGGCAAGAGATCCGGGGGAAGGGCTGAGAGAACCAAGACAGGACCAGACACCTCAGAGAGTCTGTGACTCTAGGCTCCCATGGTGGAGGAGGAGTTTTGGGGGGACTCAGTGGGACCTCCAGAAGAGAAGACTCTAAAAATCCGGGAAGCAAGCAAGGCCTTGGTTGAGGTGGGGGATTCAGACCCTGAGAGAAATCCCAGGCTCTGGGTCCAGTGGGCTGGGGATGTTCAGTGTGGGGGTTTTCACTGAGAAAGTCCAGAAGGCCCTGAGCCGAGGCATCCTAGGTAGGTTCCCATCTGCGTGGGGAAACAATGGGAGATCCAACAACCCAGGCCACAGGTGGTCCAGAGCAGAGGGGACCCAGTAACACACATGTTGAAAAAACATACCCCTTGCCCAGGCTATCAGGTGAATCACAGGGGATTATGGGGGCCTGGGAGGGAGCCAGCCAGGAGCTGGACATCATGTGGAGGGGAGCAGAAGTTGGACTCTCCAAAACAGGCTGTTAAGATTTGAAAAAGGAAAGCCCTGAGCATCCCTGGCTGGGACTGGCCACAAGATTCTGCCCATCAGCAGTGGCAGGAGTTGAGCAGGAAGGAAGCTGATCCTGGGGTTCTAGAAACAGCTTTGGGAGTAGGGAGAGATCCCCACTGGGCCACCAAAGGATGAAAGCAGAGAAGGGTTCTGTATCCTGGAGAAGGGCCAGAGCCTAGTGTCAGGGCCCCGGAGTGAGGCGAGGGACTCTGCTCACGTGCCCCACCTGCATCCATGCGGGCTGAGGAGATAAACTTGTCCAGCTGACACCGCAGGAAGTCCCTCTCCTCCTCCAGGTCCTCGATGCGCTTCTGCAACCATGAGTTTCTCTCCAGAGCCATGTGCAGCTGGGCCCTGACACCATTCATCAGGGCCACGGTTGGGGATGCGGCCTCCGGAGACTCTAGGGACACGGGGGAACCTTGGTCACACCCCAGGCCTTAAGGGCCCTGCACCCCAGCTGACTGGGGTCCCTCTAAGCCTCCCCCCCAGCTCACCCTCGAAGTTTCCCCGAGAGGGGCTCAGACTGTAAAAGATCTGTGGGTCTAGGTGGGGCGTCTCATCGAAGGGGATGGAGATCTCGAAGGCCTCATCGTCTTTCTTCACTGGAGGGGAGAGGCCAGGGGTCACCCCAGGGAAGGCCCCAGGCACCTCAGACCAGCCCCCAACCACAGCAGCCCCGGGGGTTAGAAAGGGCAGGGATGGGCAGGGTGGGGATGGGGTCGTCCAAGGGTGAGGCAGGGTCCCAGCTTCCTCACGTGTCCTCCTCCGACTGTTTCGGTCATTCATGGCGCGGCCTCCGGTGGACCCAGGCAGCTTAGCGCCTCAGGGGCACTGGACAGAAAGGGCAGCCACAGATGGAGAGACATCCCAGGGACGGTGGGGCCCAACTCTTTAGGACTCGGGGGGTGGGGGGTGCTGAGGGCCAGGATTCCTGGGTCCTTGGGAGGACGCCTGGGGTTTCAAACTCCTGGGCTCCTAGGAAATGGGGAGGCTGGGGGCCCAGACCCCGACCACTGAGGGAAGGAGTGGGTTCCCCGCGGGGTCGACAGAGCCAAGACGTCCTGGCCCGGATGGGGCCAACCCTCATCACGGATCACCTCGGGGCCAAAAGAAGCGAGAGGCGCAGGGGGGAGGGGACCGTGCCCCAACTTCCAGGCATAAGATGGGGGTCCAGCCCACGCGCTGCGCCTCCCCACGCCCCCTCCCCCGCACTCGTGTGGGCGAGCAGGGCCCCTCCCCGTGGTGAAGGGGGCGCGTGCGCAGTGCGGGGGAAGGTCACGCGTGGGGATGCGCCCCCGCCCCCGCCCTTTGTCCCCCGGGTGGGAGGGGGAGCGATGTTGGCCAGGGGTCCCTTCGGCAGATGCACTAGGCCGCGGGTGCAGATGCGGCCACCACCCCCCGCCCACAGGTGCCAGGGGTCGGAGGGGCCAGAGCCCCGCGCTCACCCACCCGCGCGCGGAATCCGGCCAGGGGACCGACAGCGGCGGCGCCCATGCCCGGCGCCGGGGAGCGTCTGCAAAGTGTCGCGGGGAGTGCAGGGAAGCGCCCACCCGCCGCGGGCAGGCGGGAAGGCAGAGGCGGCGAGCCTGGGGCGGGGTAGTGGGCCGGTGGGAACGGGAACGGGCAGGGACGTCGGCACTTCCCCGCCCGCCGGTCGGTGCGTTTTTCCAGGAGCCTCCGGCCCCAGGTGAGGCCCGCCGTTTGCGGCCGAGGCGCGAGCTGCACTTGCACGACGGCCCCTTGCCGCACTACCCCGCCCTTCGCGAAGCCCGGGCAGGGAACGTCAAGAAACTCCCAATTCCTGGAGAGCAGGCGGCTCCGGGGTCTCCGGGGTGGGGGGAGATGCACTGAGTCGGGCCCGGGAGAGGGAAGGAGACAACCAGGAAAGTTGAAGCACAGGGAGAATCCTTTTGAGCGGTACCCTGAGAACTGGCCCCTCGGACCCCCGTAACCCGCCCCTTCACCTCCCGCCGTCCGTGCATCGCCAGCACCACCGGACCTCACGCACGGTTCCTAAGACCATGGGAGAGTAGGGGTTACAGTTACCCTTCCTGAAAATAGGGGCCCGGAACACCCCCAGCGCCACCCCTGTGGCAGATTATGAGCTGCTTGGGAGCATTTAGACCCATTCTTGGCCGCTCCTCCTCCCTACCCTCCCCCCTCCCCCGTTCCCCCCCCCCCCCGCCTCAGTTCACTCACCTATAAAGTGGGGAGGTCACGGTCCTTTTTAGGTTCCTTGTGAGGGTGGACGGATATGTGCAGGCAAAACACTCAGGCCAGCGCCTGGCCATAGTCTAGGCTCAAGATCGGGGCTCTGGCAGTGGTATTTGAGGTCAGACAGCGGGAGGCTCTTTCCCTCTCCGGGGAGTGGAGATGGCTAATTTGTTCTTCCACCCAAGAAGAGGTCGGAAGAAGGAATGAGGCCCAGCACAGTGCCTGGCACAAAGCAGGCGCGCGAGGACAGTTCATTAAAGCAGCTGTTTATTCGCTTCTGGCTGGGTCCCGGCCTCTCCTCCCGGTCTCCGGTTGCTCCTGGAATTTTCGCCAGCCCTAGGAGAGGAGGGCTTTAACCTTGCAGGAAGAGAATGTAAATGTCTGCACCACCACCCCTCTCCTACCTGCTTCACGTTACAGATAAACTGCTGGCTGGGTCAAAACGTCCAGGGGGAAGGACCTGCCCTACATCCGCGTTTTGCAAACTACAGGTTCACGGGCAGGGAATTCAATAGGCTAGAACAGAATGGGCAGGAGGAAGGAAAAGTGGACTGCACGAAGTGGAGATTCAGTATTGTCAAAGTTTCGTTTCACATACAGTTTGTGTGATGTATACTGGGTGGCCAAATAAAACGTTTCATACAATAGATCCTAGCTTTAAGGGAAAAGAAAAAGGTTGAAGAACACTCTGCCTTGCTGACACCCCTTGTGAGTAGCCACGCTAGGGCGGACCCCATTACAGGAGACCAGACTTCCGATCGGATTGCCGGCCAGGCAGGCCAAGCATTTCGCACCAGTAAGACCCGGGCAGGATGCTCAGCCCAGCACCTGGCCATAGTCTAAGCTCGACATCAGGGCACTGTTCCTGCTATCTGAGGTCAGACAGTGGGAAGCTCGTTCCCTCTCTGGGGAGAAGAAATGGCTCATTTGTTCTTCTGCCCAAAAAAGAGGCGAGCCAGGCACTTGCTGAGTCTCCCCATTAGGCAGCAGGCGGGACAAGCCGCTGCCCCCAAAAACAAATGTCAAGCTCAAAATGGGAAAGGTGTTTATTGGGTGTCCAGTGTCTGGCTGGGGTTTGGGAGGCAGGTCTGGGGCCCCTTCCCCCAGCATTAACAAGGAGGGCCTCAGGAAGCTGGTGCAGATTCTTGACGGCTCCCAACCACATTTTTCAGGCTGGAGAATTTCCACACAGAGTACTCTCCCCCCACACCTCCGCTCAGGGCTCAGCCTGAGGCTGGGGGGCTCCACTCTGCTAATGTTAAGGTCTTGTTTTCAGCTTATCTCCAATACACGAAGGCTACTCATGGGCTCCTCCTTCAGGCAGGGCTTGGCCTTTGCAGGCGGTGGGTCTGTGTCCAGGGCTGCAACCCAGCCTTCCGCACTAGCCAGGTGTCTGAGGGCAATGGGAGTCCAGGCTCCCCACAGATCCCCGTGGCACCTGGGGCGCCCCGCAGCCTGGCTCATGGGTGCTTCCACCGGGTGTGCTTTTGCAGTGTGTTCTGCTCCATAAACCGGCGCGGGCAGTGAGGGCACTGAAACGGGCGCTCCCCTGAGTGGACCCGGCTGTGCTGGGCCAGCTCCCCCGCCTCTCGGAAGCGGCGAGGGCAGAGCGGACAGCCATGGGGTCGCCCACCGCCGGCCCGGTGGATAGAGTGGTGCCGAGCCAGGTGGCTGGCCCGCTTGAATGCCTTCCCACAGGTGTCACACTCGAAGGGCTTCACCTCCGAGTGGGTGATGCTGTGCCGCTGCAGGTAGGACATGTACTCGAAGACCCGGGAGCACACGGGGCAGCTGTAGCACTTTTTCTGAGCGGATGTCCCATCTGCGCCAGGCTCTCTCTGGGACTCCTGGTCCACCAGCACGGTGTATGGCACACCCTGGGTGTCAATAAGCAGGTAGTGGTTGGGCCTCGGAGAGGAGGAAGTCTGGGGAAGTCCTGTGGACGAGGAAGGTCCGGGTTCTGGAGACCTGCCTGTCCGAGAGGGCGGGGCCTCCATGGCCTCTGCGGAGGGAAGCGCCAGGGGCTGCGGGCAGGGGGACGACGGCAGCACCAGCATCCGGAGGGGTGGCTGAGGCCTGCTGGGCAGGAGAGAGGATGAAGTTACACACAGGAGGGAAGCTGGCTGCACGAGCTCCGTTCTTCACCCTCTGTGCAGTCTGCTCAGAACCTATGCGTCCCTGGACTCTCTGACCTTCTGTAAAGCTTCCAGGGTCCTGGTCCCATCACCCACTGCAAGCACGGGCACACCCAGGACCTCGCTCTGTCCTCCTCCTCTGTACCCTCCTCAGGTCCCTGGGCGCCCCTGCACTCCGGGCACCCGCAGGGCTTCCCCAGGCCCCACCCCCTAGACCTGCAGGTCTCGGTCTCGACTCCCCACGCCCCTGACCCAGGTCTGGGTGTCGCCCCATCCTGTTACTCCACCCAGAAGCCTGGTCTACCCCTTCCGTGTTCGCCAAGCCGTCTCCGACGGGCTGCCACGCTAAGACCCGCAGGTCCTGGCCCGCCCTCCAACAGGCTCCCTGAGCACCCCTGCGCGCCCCCCTCCTAGCCCGGCTACCTCCAGATTCTCTCTGGTCCACGCCCATCCAGCTTCTCCACCCCAAGTTCTTCCTGGATCGTAGCGCTCTCTAGGGCGCCGCCCCCCGTCGGTGGCCCGGCCTCCGAGACCGGCACCGCGAGTTCTGGGCGGTGCCCTCCCGAGCCCCGCGGCGGCCCCTCCCCGCCCTGCGCTCAGGTACTCGCTCCCGGCCCCGCCCCTCTCGCGGCCCGCGGCCCGCTCCCGCCCGCCTCCAGCCTCCCGGCCCCCGTACCCGGTGCAGCAGCCTCTCGGGTCCGGGCGACTCCAGAACGGCCCCGGGCTACCCCCGTGGTCGCAGGTGGGAGCGGGACGGGCGCCTCGGGGTGTCCCCCGGGAGCTGGTGGTACCGGTAACAGGAGAGCGGACCCGGGCGCGGAGAAGAGGGGCGAGGGGAGGAAGGTGGGGGCGGGGCGCCCGGGCCTTCGGGAAACGGATCCGGCCAGAAACACACGCCGGGAGGAAGGTTCCCAGGGGCTGACGGCCCCGGCTGCCCGCTCCCGGCCGCTGCGCACCCCCCGACACACACACGCACATCAGAGCCCCGAGGCGGAGTGCGGAATGTTTATTGAGTACGGGGCGAGGATTGCGGGTGGAAAGGGGGAGATACAGGAACGAGCCAGACCGTGCCGTGCTCTTGGGTCAGCTCTTCCGCGCACACGACGGCTGAGCCCTCGGGAGCAGGAGAGCCGGGCCCCGAGATGCAGTGCGCCTGCGAGGGCTCGCGCGGCCCGGCCCGGCCGGGGCCCAGTTCCGAGACTGGCTCCCCGGCCCAGGGAGGGGCAGCGACGGGGCCGGCATCGCACAGCGAGACAGGAAGGTAAGGAAGGAAGGGGGTCTCTCCTTCTGGGCAGACGGGGAGACGGGCCCCGGGTAAGGCAGGGCGCGCATGTGGCAGCGCGGCTGTGTGGCTCGCGAGGCCCCGCCGGCCGGAATTCAGTGGAGGCGCACGTGCTGCGCCAGCTCCGCGGCGTCCTGGAAGCGGCGTGGGCAGAGCGGGCAGGTGTGCGGCGGGCCCGCACGGGCGCGGTGCGTGGCGCGGTGCCGCGACAGGTGGCTGGAGCGCTTGAAGGCCTTGCCGCAGGCGCCGCACGTGAAGGGCTTGAGGTCCGAGTGCGACACGCGGTGGCTCTGCAGCCGCAGGGGGCTGGCAAAGACGCGAGCGCACTCCGGGCAGCTGTAGCCCTTGCGCGGCCCCGCTTCTCCTGGCGCGGCCTCGCGCTGGGGCGGGCCCCGGGGCTCCTCCTCTAGCTGCACCGTGTACGTGTAGGGGACCCCGTTGGCGTCGATGAGCAGGTGGCGGCCCAGCCGCGGGGGGCGGGGCCCTGCCGCCGAGGATGGAGTAGAGGAAGGGCCTTCCGTCTTGGGGAAAGGGGGAGCCTTGGGGGGCGGCGGGTCCATGGCCTCTGGGGAGGAGGACCGAGGGTGGGGTGGCCGAGGCGGCAGCAGCAGCATCTGGGGTGTCAACTGGGAGCAGTGGAGGGAAGAGAAGTTAAAATCGCTACTTGCTGGGGGCAAGTGTCCCCATTACCACGGCTTGGCAGGCCCTCTGTACCGCTGACCTACCTCTTCTGCAAAAGAGGAACCTACTCCAGGCTCTGGTTCCAGCAAGCGGGTCCCAGGACAGCCCCACGAGAGCCTGGCATACCCCTGCCCGCCTGCGCCCGCCCTCCGCCCCCGCCTGCCTCTCCCCTGCGGCTCCGTCTCAGCCCCCAGACCAGGCCAGACGGCGCTCTCCTGCCACTTTCCTTCCCCCAACTCCCCCACAGCCTGTCAGATTCCAAGTCTGTTTCCTAACTCGTTCCTAACGGGTCTTCCCAGGCCCCGGGCCGGCCTATCAGCTTCGACCCCTGGAAGGCCTCCCCGTCTTCGCACGCAGCGCGGCCTGGCTGAGACTGCTTCCTGGGTACGCCCCCAGAAGGCCAGTTTTCGGCCTGAGCGCGTCTATTCCGACCCTACGCTTAGCACCTCCAGGTCTCAGCCTCCCCGCGCCGAGCGGACCCGCCGTCCGGGCTTCACGCACACATCCCCTGGGACGCCTCAACTGCCCGCTTCTGTGCACCCACACACCCTGCGCCTCCCAGGGGCGCCCTCTCTCCCCCGCCCCCAGACGCAAGCCACCGACGTCGTCCATTTCTTCCGTCCGTGCCCTGCTGGGCTTCGGCCCCCTCGCCGCTGCCCGCACCGGGGCCCCGGGAGCCCCGTCCCTCCCCTCTGCGAGCATCTTGGCACCTCTGTTTCTCCATCCCTCCAGCCCGCTTCGCTGCTCCGCCTCCCTCGGCAACCCCAGCGCCCGGGCCCCCACCCCCCCGCCCCCTTCCCGCTGCACCCTCAGGGCCCCGCTCTCCCTCCGGTCCCACCCCCGCGGCGCCCGCCCCTCCCCCAGCCCGGCCCGGCCTCGCGCCGTCCCGGAGCCAGGCTCCTCCCTCCGTTCCGGCCCCCGTACCCGACGCGGCGGCCTCTCGGGACCTGAGGAGCGGGCCGAAGTCCCGGGCGGCCCGGGCTTCCCCTCGCGAGTGCCGGCGGCGGCGGGACCGAGACTTCCGGGAGCTCCGGGCCCGCGGCGCCGGGAACGCGGGCGCGGGGGGCGCGGGCGCGGGGGCGCGAGGGGCGGCGGCGTCTCTGGAAAAGGGCACCGTGCGGAAACTCGCACGCCACGACGAAGGTTCCGCGGTCCCGGAGCGGGGGGCTCGCAAGGTCCGAGTCCCTGCAGGCCGGGGGTGCCGGGGGAGGGCGCGGGCGTCGGCTGCACAGCGCCAGCCCTGCCCCCGCCCCCGCAGGGGACTGTTCGGGCGCCGCGACACACGTGCGTTAATGCACGGGCTAGGCTGCCTGTGTTCGCCCGACGCTCCCCTAGGAAGGGGCGCGCCCAGGTTTGTCCACTTGCGGCCGGGCCGTCCCGCGTGCTCCCCGGCGCTGCGGTGCAGAGCGCGGGTTCTGTCGGTCGGGCGTGGCGCGACCCGCGGGGCGGACGCGGAGCCGAGCCCGCGGAAGGCCCGACAGTGCTGGTTGCGGAGGTGGGGACGTGCGGCTCTTCGCGTCCCGCAGATGGGGAAACTGAGGCCCGAGGCGGCGCGCGGCCGTGTCTTGGAGGTGCCCGGCACACACCGCGGTGCGCACGGGGAAACCGAGGCAGTGCCCCAGTTCAGGCTGGTAGCGCGCCACCCACGAAGCGCCTGCAGCTTCGTTCCGGGGGGCGGGGGGCAGGTGGCTGCAGCGGCGGCGGGGCAGAGCGGGGAGCCGCACTTGGGGCGCCTGCGGCCTGTCCCGCAGCCACCGCGGGAACAGCCCCGGAGCAGGGAGTGGCGTGGCGGGCAGCGCACAGCGGAGGGAGAGAAAGGACGTTACTGGAGCTCGCAGCCCGGGGACCCGGGGGAGGTGGGGGCCGGTCAGAGCTGCTTCGCAGTGAGCTGCCGGAAAGAACTGGTCTGTGGTGACCGGCCAAGTGTGGCCCCCGCGACCGAGGGCCGGAGCTTTTAAATGCTCTTTCTCTTCAGGTAAATCTCAATGGCCACACGTGGCTAGTGGCTGCCTGTGGTCTGGGACAGCTCCCGCCACCCTCAACCACTTGCAAACAGGAGGCCTGCAGGCCAGAAAGGATTCAGTGTTTGGTCTGGACCATATGCTGTCTCTCAGTGTTTTACTAGGCAGTATCCAAGAAGACAGAAAATACGCAAACTCAAAATCCCAGACACATTTGGAAAACAATTTCTGGATGTGGCTGTAAGCTGAGCTGAGAAAGCATTCTTCCGAAAACCTTCCAGAAACCTCCAGACATGTGTGGAATTCGGCTAGAACTAAAGCCCCCTTGCATGGTGCTGTGGCTCAGGGAGGTTTGACGTGGGTCTGGCCTGAGGTAAGCCATGCTGTAAATGCAAGACACCCCCCCAGATTCTGAAGACTTATTCTGGAAAGAAAAGAGGCAGGACCTTTCGTGAATGACTTTTAGATGGATTATGGTTCACAGTGGCCATACTTTGGATATACTGGGTTAAGTGAGGCATCATGTTAAAACGGATGTCACCCATCTCATTTCACATTTCCCAAGTGTGGCTCATTCTGATGCTATGGGACAGCATTGTCCTCACCGGGCAGTAGGGAGGACGGGGACTGGTGAGCAGAGGGCACACCTTGTGTGCAGGGCAACTACACCGTCTGTCTACACTGGGGTTTCCCAGCTCTGACACTATCGGTACTTTGGAACTGGATCATTCTTCAGTGTGGGGGCCTGTCCTCCACACTGTATTGTCCAGAGGCCTGTAGCACCTCTCTCGTCCCCACCTCCCCCAGGTGACAGCAGGCTTCCCAAGTGTCGCCCTGGGCAACAGGGACTACACAGACAGCTAACCCAATCAGTCTGCTGCCCGGATCCCTTTCTTGAGTTTCAGAACCCTGTAACTACCTGCATTCACGACAGCCAGAGCACCCCCCATCCCCAGAAACAACGACGGTGACCAGCACTCTGCGCCCTCACTATGCGGCCCAGCAGTGCTGAGCGTATTGGTCCTCAGAGCAGACCTCTGAGGCAGGGGTCACGAAGATTCCTTTTATGGGTGAGGTGGCAGAAGCTAGGAGAGATCATGCGATTGGCCTCCATCAGGACAGCACCAGCTTCTGCCAGACCCCAGCCACGGCTGGTGTCCACTATGCACACCGCGGTTTGCCCCCTGCTTACTGGGACAGCCTCCCACCCACCCTCTGGTACTTTCTCTTTATGGCAATACTGCAGCCCCTGTATTTGTTTAAACCCAGGGAATCGTGTCCTCTGTGGACTTAAAACCCTCCGCACCGCACTCAGAATGAAGCCCAGGAACCCACCAAGCACAGTACTGCCTCTGCCCCCTCTCCCAGCCTCCAGGGCCTGCATCTGCTGTTCCCTCTCTCTGGAGTATCGCCCCTAGCCCCTCACCGGGATGGACCCTTTCTGACCACTCAGATGGTACCTCGTCACTGAAGCTTTGCTGACTGAGTCCGAGGCCAAGCGGGTGACACCCGGCTCTTCCTCTTCATTGTTTCCTTCCAGCATCCCGTAGGGCCGTCCATGGTGGTCTGGCTTACTTACCAATTCGCTCTCCTGCCTGCCTTTCCCACTCCGCAAAGGCAGAGAAGTCCCGTCTGGGATGACGCTGTATCCTCAGAACCCAGCCAAGGTCTTGGGAGAGGGTAGGGGCTCAATTCAGTTTTGTTTGGATGAATGAATAAATGAATGATTTCAATCCCCCCATCCAAAAGTGAAGCATTCCCTACCCCCAGCCATAAAACCCCGCTTCTCTCCTGGAATGTGGTCACCATGACTCCCCACATGCACTCGAGTCCAGAACCTTGGATGGTCTCATTCTCCCCTGCCCCCACCCTTCCTCAGCTCCCCAGAGCCAGACAGCACCTTGCAGCCCCCGACTGGACCTTGAACTTACACGGTTCTAGGTGCAAAGGCTCCTGTGTTTTCCTCGACTTGCCACTCTTCCCCTTCCTCTGACTGCGGCCTCCTCCTCAGTCGTCCCAAATCCTGTGCCCTGACCTCCCAGGCTGGCAGACACACTGCTCATGCTGGCTGGCATTCCCACCTACCAGCTCAGCAATCTCTCCAGCCTCCTCTAGGAGCCATTACCCATGTCCCCAGCCTTCAGCTCACTCTGCCTCTCAGTAATCCAGTGGGGCTGGCGCTCCCCTGAGCCTCAGGAAGGGCAAGAGGCTTGCATCCGGTCCGCTCCCCCAGCCTGAGTGGCAGAGACAGTATCAAACCCCCCCCAGCACCCTTCCTTCCCTCCGCAGCCTACAGCCGGAGCCCAGCCTCCGACAGGAGTTTTTCCTGGACCGCTCTCCTCTCAACGCCCACCGCTCACTCCACACGACCTTGCACTCCCATGCAACAAGTCCTTCTCTCCTTTGGGGAAGAAGTGATCGCCAAGCCTTTGCCTCTGGGTTAATCTGGGTCTTAGTAATCCACTCACCAGCTTCCTGCCCTCCTCTCTGCACCCCATCCCAGGTCTCCCCGACCCTCCTTTTGCAGGGGTTCTCTGCCTCCAAGCCCCCCTGCCCTTGGGGGCCACTGAGTCCCACACTGCAAGTCCCTTGTGTCACCCAAAACCCTCACAATGTCCGTTGAGCAGGATCCTAACAATGCCACATCTCCTGCTCCCACTCACTCGTCCAAGCCTTGTCTCAGCCGTGCTACCCTAAGTGGATGCATCGATGCCTTTCCAGAGGGCTCCAGCCCCCTAGGCAGAGGCAGGTGTGCCTAAGGTCTCTGGCCAAGAACTTACTCACAAAGGAAAAATTCCCACATAATTTGGGTTTCAGCTCCACCCCAACAACTTAAGAATCAAAACACACTGAGGGGCGCCTGGGTGGCTCAGTCATTAAGCATCAGCCTTCAGCTCAGGTCATGATCCTGGGGTCCTGGGATTGAGACCCACACTGGCCTCCCTGCTCAGCAGGAGTCTGCTTCTCCCTCTCCCACTCCCCCTGCTTGTGTTCGCTCTCTCACTCCATCCCTGTCAAATAAATAAATAATTTTTTTATATTTTTTAAGATTTTTTATTTATTTATTTGACACAGAGATCACAAGCAGGCAGAGAGGCAGGCAGAGAGAGAGGAGGAAGCAGGCTCCTCGCGGAGCAGAGAACCCGATGAGGGGGCTCGATCCCAGGACCCTGGGATCATGACCTGAGCCAAAGGCAGAGGCTTTAACCACTGAGCCACCCAGGCGCCCCAAAATAAATAAAATCTTAGAAGCCCACCTCACACTGATTTGAGCCTGTCTGAGCAGGCCCTGTGAGTTGGGAAAACAGGTAGGGGAGTGGCAGGTGCTGCCTTTGAGTGACGCCACACACCTGTAGCTCCCTTACCATCCCACATCTCATTCCACACACCTGTAACTAACTCCCTTACCATCCCACGTCTCATTCCGTCCCACCTACAGATGGGACGCTGAGCTACAGCATGGCACAGCCGTGCACCCCAGGCTACAGAGAGGGGCTGTGGCAGGTCAGGGATCCAACAGGAGGCTCCCGCCTCTCACCCCTGACCAGAGTTGGCTGGGGAACCCCAAGTCATTTCCTCTTCCAGGACGGAAAAAACAGGGGCTCAGGTCACACAGCAATCAAGACCAGGGCCTCTGCCATCTGTACCAAAAACAAGAGCGTCTACAGAGCTTCCCTGACCTCTCCACCGTCCAGCAAGTTCCTTCCCGCCTGCACGTGCTGCTCCAGGGCCCCCAAAGAAGCGAGGCCTCGCTGCAGCGCTAGCAAGCTCGGGTCACACGCCGGAGCTCTGGGTCGGAGCTCCGAGCCGTGATGCCGTGGCTCCCGGATGCATGCAGGGGTCATTGGAGGCAGCGAGGGCGGGGCTCTGACCCGTGGACCTCCTCCCTGCACATGGAGCACCCCGGCCACTGGAAGGGGTCCGAGACCGCCAGTGGGGCGCCGGGGCTGGCAGGGCCGCCAAGGGGCCCGGACCCAGGCGGGAAGAGCCCGGGCAGGCCTACCTCCGGGCGCCCAGCCCCAGTCCCCGCGGTGAGCTCCAGGGGCCGCCCCTTGCAGCCCCGCCGCCACTGCCAACAGCGGTTCCGGCCCCACGGGGGACCGACGGCAAGATCAGAAGGGGATGGCCGTTTCTCGGTGG